TTCCTACTAGCTAGCTATATTCTTTAAGAACGATAGAATAGTGTTATTCTAGGCCTTAAGCGTACTAATATCGCTCTTTAGCCTCTTTAGCTCGCGCTTACTCTTATCGTTTACTTCGCTACTATTTAACGACCGTACTAACGCCGCTATACTAGCTTCTATTGTCGGAGGTTCTTTAGCTAACTCCCGCCTTGTCTTGCGCTTCTTAGAGGCCTTCTTATCGACTAGCTATAGCGTTGCTAAAGAACGAGAAGCCGCTAGAGTCTATAAATTATAGACCGCCTCTTTATCGAAGTCGGCCTCCGAATAGACTGTTTCTAGTAGATCAATCTTATTCCGCTCTACTTCCTCGTCTATCTTATCTTCTTCTTTATTAATATAAGTATTAGACTTACTACTACTACTAGACTCGGGGTCTAGTAAGGGCGCTTTCTTCTTCCCCTTATCCTTCCGGCTTTTGGTAAGGTTTAGTCTTACTCGCTAAGCATTAATAGCCTTATCTTCTAAGTTCCTTCTTCTTAGCGGCCTTCGCCTTGTCTTTAGCTAACTATTGCTTCTTAGCAATCGCCGCCTTTATCTTACTAAGCCGATTAGTATATTCGTTGTTAAATTTAGTACTAGAGTCTATATAGGTGCCGCCTTGCTTAGGGTCGCGCTATTAGTTATAGACCTTTAGTATTGCCTTAAACACCTTCTTTAAGCTTCTATAAGTAAATCCGGTCTCTCTTGCGAATACTAGGCTAATAGTATCCTATATTTTTAGCTAACTAAGCATTATTATATGCTTAAACACTACCTTACTAAGTACGACCTTCTAATAGTTAGTAAGACTAGAAGAGCCTATAGGCTAACTCGCTCGTAGCGCCTCTTTATCGACTATACTAATAGCCGCTTAATCGGCTTCTAATTAAGCTGCTAACCTCGCCTTCCTTCGAGCGGATTTACTCGCCTTACGGTTAAGCAGCTACGGTATGCTTAGTAGAGGCATCTTACCTCGAAGGGCGGCAAGATGCTAAGTAATAGGTTAAGGTATTATTATCTATCGCTTAGTCGACTAAGCGACTAGTTTACTACGCTTATTATAGATAAGCTAGCTAGGAGGTCTATAGAAACAGTCGAAATCGACACTATTACTAGGCGGCTAAATAGCGCTCGGCGGTTGTAGAATCGGTATAGGGGTTAGAGACTAGGAAATAGGCGTAGAGGCGACCGACGAAAGCCTTAAGAAGCTATTCTCGTAAGACATAATTGCTAGCAATTAATATACTAATTTATTTTATAGCGATAGTCGACGCGATACATAGAAGGCTAGAAGCCCGAGGTTAGCACCTGCGGCTAATTCTACTACGCTAAGCTATATTTACTTACTTAGCGACCTAATCTAGCACTAGAGCGGCCGCTCTAGCGCTAGAGCGGCAGCTAAAGGTAACACGTATACGCGCACTGTTTACTTCCTTATTAGGCCGTACTAGGCTATATTAGGGGCTAGAGCGGCACCTAGAGCGGCATTAGAAGGTGCGGCGAAATCCCTCTATTACGTTAGGATAAACAGTACAAATAGAAATGCACGAAGGCGGGGTAGCGTATAGGGAGGCCTATATATACTAGATTGTTAATAGAGGTTCTTACTGCCTCTACTAACCTACCTTTACGACTAACTAACTATTCTATATTTGCCCTTATACTATACTCTCTATTAACCCACAAAATGCCTCTACGTACCGATCTCTCGCTATAGAGGGCTTAGATAACCTTATAGGTTAGTAGTAGTACTATATAAAGCGGAATCCTATAGTACCTTATATAAGAGACTAGTTACTAGATAGCTATTTCTACGCTTTATCGAAGGCTTAAGAAATAGAGAGTTAATTATAGCTATTACGCTTACTGTAACTAAGTTAATAATATCGATATACTAAAGATCCGAGTCGTATATGCCTTCTCTACTTTACGCTTAACTAATAAAGAGGCGGTTAAAGTACTAAAGATAAATAGATTCAATATTAGCGAGCAGAGATATTAAAAGGTATATTAAGAGCTTAGATTAAAGAAGGTATTATCGTAAGATAAATAGATAGAGATAGAAGAGAAGATAGTAGAAGTCTTATAGGAAGAGCTCGAGAAGTCTATAGTAGAGTTCTTCGGCCGACGGTATAGTAGTGCCTGTATATCTGCTAGTATATTAGGTCTGAATATGATATTATTAGTAGAAATTAGCTATATTATATAGCTTCTTTACTAAATCCTAAAGGGTTACAAGTCCGCCGCGAGCGGGCGCGAGAATACTATAGAGCGATTATTATACCCGGTCCTAGTTACGTAATATTAATAGATACTTACTATAAATTCGCGTATTAGGGAATATAAATCTACGTAGCGATTAATATTTACTCGCGTTATATTATCTAGATCTACTAGTATATAGGTATTACGAGCTAGATAGCTATCCGAGTCTCTATACTAGCTTAATACCTTATAACGATCCGGAATAGTGGTATAATGCTATAGACTCGGATTATCCGATTAGACTATAGAGTAGAGACGATTCTAGCCGTAGACGCTTACTATAAGACTCGCCTTACGACTCGTAGTAACCCGGAATAATCGCTACTAGCCTTCGGGAACTACTTTAAATATAGTATAAGTAAGATAAACTAGCGGATTAGGGTATAGTAGCGCTAGCAAGTACCTGTGCTAAATGGCTAGAGAGGCTATTTCTACGAGTTACTACGCGAGTTACTATACGATACTAAACTACTAGCGGATTAGACTACCTTCCTTATAATCTATATACTAACTATATATAATAAAGTCCTCGAATTTATTTACCTCTAGAATAGCTATTATATTAGGAGGTAGGCTAATTAACTGTGCGTTATGCTAGGTATTCCGTATATTCTATACTACTATTATCTAGAGCTTAGCGAGCATTCTTACTAAGGTATTCCTATACCTAACGGCGTTCTTAATAATATAGAGTAAGACATTTAAGGATTTAGTATATATTAGATTCTATAGTACTTGCTATGGACTCGCTAATTCCGAATCCTAGATCTTAAAGCCTACCTACTCGAGCCTACGCTTTCTTAGTATTAGAGCTAGAACTAATAGAGTTAGATAAGCTATTAGTAGTACGTACTTAGTTAGCGGCGGCTCGGAATTAGAAAGCTAGGATAATTAAGTTTATAAATATTAAATAACATATACTAATCGGCGATCTACGAGCCGGCCGCGAGTATATAGCGAGTCGCCTTTTCTAGTTCGATTTTATCTATAACCTTCTTAAACCTCTACTATTTCTACCTCTATTTATATAATAATATCTACTAATTAGGGCACCTATTATACCTAGTTAGGCGTTAACTATATAAAGAATTTAGTAATAGCCTTTTTATTAAGCTATTTAAACTACGAGAGGTAGTATCCTTCTAACTTATCGAGTCTACTAGCTTTAAGTGCCTTAGTCTTTGCCTTTAATATAGTATTCTTTGCCTCTATAGCCTCGACTCGCGCCTATATTACGGCTAGCTTGCTATTACTATTATCTTCTTTAACCTCTGTCCTCTAAGCTAGCCGTATAGCTAGACTTGCCTTTATACTTATAGTAAGTATAGACTCGCTCGCCCTTAGTATTAGATATACGATACTTAAAGTTATTAGAGCGTATATAGTAGTAGTATAGCGCTAGTATAAGCTTACTAGAGTCCGTTTCTATAGTAGGTCTAGTAGCCTTATATTTCTATAGTCTATTTAATACCGCCTTCTTCTTATTTAGTATACTAGTAGCTACCTAATCGAGTAGCTCTAACTGTATCTCTACGCTATAATACTAGAAATTATAGGCATTTATAGCGGTAGGGCGTCGAAGTCTAGAGCGAGTTAGTAGCGAGTCTATAGCGATACGCCTCGCGATTTATAATAAATATTCTCCTTCTCCTACTAGTAAGTACGCTACTAAAGCTAAAGCTAAAGCTACGCTAAGAATAAGGTCGCTCGCAATACTAGCTATAGCGGCTACTACTATCGGTATGGCTATCGGTATCGCTATCGGTATCGCTATTGGTATCGGTATCGATAGAAGAAGAATATTGTAGGGCGAAGCGCGAAGTTGTAGCGAGTCCAAGCAAGGTTTGTCGCGACAACAGGCACAGCAAGGCTAGTAAGGAAGGTATAGGAATAGTGGGAAGCGACAACAGACTAAAGCAAAGCTAAGCCTCCATTAACAATCTGGTATATACAGAGCTCCATCGGCGTGCGGCGTGCGGCTTCAACACAGTGCTCGGAGGAGATGCCAGTGAAAGGCCAGTGTCCTATGATCACATTCTGCGGCTTGGCGTGTCACAAGACAGAGCGGCAAGCAGATCCAAATGTGCATGCTGGCTCAAGTTGATGTTGAGTCTGCGGCTGCATTCTGTGGACGCTGTGTGTGTATGCATAGCGACTTTCGACGGTCGTGTGGCCAGCTGCGAACGAGGGATCCTCGCATGTTGGGCATATGGTATGTATGAAGAATGGTCAGTCGATCCAGTCTGCGATGGATAACGAGCACAAAGGCGTTGTTCCCATGTGGCGACAATGGAGTGCCGGAGCAGAAGGAGATCGTTGGCCTTTGTTCAGGACACAATGGTCTTGTTCGCTTCATACTCACGCAACAATGGGCTTGTCATTGGCCCCAACCGCTTTCGCTGACTTATACACACATTGTCCCGCCAATTTTGCGGCGTGAAGAATGGCATTCTCCTCGGCTTTCACACTGCCAGGTGAAGTCCCGGCTGGCACCATATAAGGGAACTTGATGCACTGGAGTGTTGGCACATCAGAGAACACGAATCCTCCAGATCGAGCTACCGCATCTGCTTCTTCTTGCCAGGCTGGTCCCGGCAAAAGCACTTCAACGACCATCTTCAACGAGCTCTTTCAACGTGGCTTCGAAGACATCCGAGCACACCACTTCTTCTACCAAGACTTCTGTAATCTCCATCACCCCAAAAGAACGAGTCATGGGTTCAACAGGCCCCGGCTTCCTGGAGAAGCGCGTCAGGAAACTCATCAGAGCGAGACAGGATGCCACCGAGAAGGTCGCAGTTCAGCTCAGACTACAAACGTCGCCCACAATGGCAAAAGACCCGAATGGCGACGAGACTTGTAGTCTAGTCAAGGCACCAAAGGTACCTCGGACATGCATCGCTATCCCGCTCACTTCTTGCCCACCATTACATCTGGCAGAACGTCCATCACACCTGCCTAGTACACTCCCTCCTTCGATCCAAGCCGCTTTCAAGCAAGCCAGAGATACAGGCTTCAAACGGGTCGAGATCAGCCCCGATGAGGACCTGGAAAGATTGCTTCGTTTCAAGCAAGACTCTCAAGAAGGGGAGGAGACTGCAAAGAACGAGAGCCCTGCAATCTCGAAATCAGACGACCAAGAAGCAGTCCAGCTTGAGCATTGCAACGATTCTACGGACATAGGCGACAGCCGAGACAGTACTACGGACGATTCGGAAGGAATCCAACCCGAAAAAGTCGAGAATGTCCAAGAGACTGACGACTCTTCAGAGTCTGAGGTACCGGAGTCTCCAGCAAATCAAGCTGAGCCATACGAAGAGGCCTTGGAGACCGACGACTCTTCAGACCAAGAATGGGAGTGTCAAACATCAGTTCGCATAACGTCTGGTCACAACAAATCGCAGAATCGCAGACGAAAGATCTTCGAGCGGCCACAAGAGCTCGACTCTTTGATCAGCACTTGGAAGCAAGGCTCCGAAGGTTGCGCTGACGACTCACAGGTTTGATGAGCATACTGCTCGACTGACTTACTTCTAGTTCGATAAAGCTTGAGTGCCGTGAGCCAGGCTGACCAACTGGCTCATCGCTCCAAGGTTCGTGAATTTCCTTTTCGATACTGCTCTGGGTAGTGGTATTTATGGGTAGACTCTGCTACTCTCTGGCAGAGTACTGATAGGTATGTTGTTCTAATACAATTTGGCATCACACCAACACACAATATCGCATTTCAAATATTTTTTTTTCCTCTCGTCGTTGATTTCATGTGAATGTTTGAATCAGATCCGGCCTGATTACGATGAATTTGCGGAAGTGAACACGTTGCCTGGTCTTAACTATTCTACTACAGATCAGTTCCTAAGTATTAATATCGGCAACGCCCGTATCACAATTCTCAGCGCTTAAGTTGCACTTGCTATCGCTCTTGAATATGCGAGGTAGATCCATTCGTTTGCTCATGTGAGGGTGCTTTGACCATAAGTGAGCGCAGCAAGCTTGCTGACATTATATTATGACTACCGCTGATCCTCCAAGCAGGCCATCAAGCTACTTGATATACTGCATAGTGATCTGCAAGATGCTCATGCATTCTACTAAAGATCATTCACTCGCCAATCGGCCGTTATCTTTTTGCCACAGGATTGTATAGCAAGGCACATGCTGCAGTCGAATATCACTCACTGACTCACTCACCGAGTCTCACATGCAAATGGTGACCTCACTTTGCGAATATGCATGTGATACTGCGGAAAGCGGCTTCATATATGTATGCCTTCTCATTGTCTTGCTTCTACGACAATAACATCAACATCTTTCTATTGTCAACACTAAACAATAGAATCGAACACCTTCCGACCCGACAATGGACGCTTTCAACCACGACACCGATACCTCTGTCACCATTGAGCGACTGATTTCTGATTTCGGAACCCAGACTATCGGCAGCACCAGGAATGATGTGTATCCATCGCCAAGAAACAATGTCGCGGCACGAGCAAGACAGGTTCGAGAAGAGATTTTAGAGGCTCTTGAGCCTGTAGAAGTGGCTCCAGCGGATTTCGAAATTCTCAACCACTGGAATCGTCAGAAACACCATCTCGCTGCTTCTCGGAGTGGGGTCCTAAGCAAGAACGCTCCTGTTCAAGACCATGCCTCCAGCCTACCAGGAACTCTCACGGACCCAGAAGCGGAGGTTATCCCAGGTGAGGCTCATGGTGATGGAGAAGAACGAAGAGACTCTGCTCTTGCTGTAGAATGGGACCCATCCCAAATGTGGGATGCCTCCGACGCCGACTTGGGTGAAATACTCGAGCGCCAGGATGCTATTACCAAGCTTCTTACCAAGGCCCAAAAGAGCGGCAAACACACCACTTTTTCTCCAGAAGCATTCGACGATGGCTTGCAATTCACCCTAAGAGTGCATGGCAAGGAAGACAAGCTTTCTTACCCGAATCTATGGGTACCAGATCCTCGTTTACGGTATGAGGATGAGGAAGGAACAGGAGATTTCAAGGAGAGCAGAGTCATTAGGGTGTTCTTTGCGAAGATTGTGGAGAAGGAGGCCTCGCCAACCAGAGGTAGAGGCAGATCCCACAAGATGTTCATGCCAATGGAAGCCATCGAGCAGCAATCCGGCATACCAAGCTATGTGGTAGCAGGCAAATACTATGCCGAAACTCACAAGCTGCCTCCTCCGACTATGGTGCATCCAGCTCTCCGAGAACCGCAGACGCCCAAGAAAGAGACCAGCGAGGCAGATCTGCTGCTGAAGGTGACACACCAGCATCCTCCCAAGAAGCGGATCTTTCCTTGCAAGAAAGCTTGGAGTCCTCCAGAAATCCAGAGTCCGAAGCAGTTCGCCACCGACTCAGCACGTCCAACAATACTGCATCGTGCAGAGACAGGACCTGTAGCGACGGCTCGCCAAATGCTTCGAAAAATGCTTCGAACCACACAGAAAGAACCACGTAGCCAGAAGCAGAACCATGACATCGATCTGGATTAGGTAATGAAGTCGATGAAGTCAGTCTCATCGACTAAAATCAACAACCTTGTACTGCCAAAGATGGGAGGCTTCGAATAGGAGTCCCCAAGCAAGCATTGCAGAGTCTTTCGTCAGAAGTTCGACGTTAAGTCTCAAGTCGCGAAGCGCTTCTTTAGCGGCAAGATCTTGGAGAATCATTCGGAGTAGAAGCAGGAAGGACTGGTATCTCAAGCGACACGCACATTACGCACATCTAAAGAATGTCGTTAGCATAAGAATGGAAAAAGCGCATTGTGCGCAGAGATTTCTGGAGTATTGAAAAGCAGCTAGAGAGAATGGCAATGTGAAAGCGCAGAGTACTCCCACTGTGTCCAACCAGGACTTCCTGACTCTTTGAAAGAGATCGGTCTCGAAATGTTGTAGTGCCATTCATGAATTTGAAATCTCGCGGCATTGAGAAACTCCAAGAGATTAAGCATGTAATACGAAGTTGCCGACTATCATAATACTCGATTTCGCCGAACCATCCTCCGTCGACGCTTTGGTCCCTATGCTATACTGGGACCTCTTGCAGACGGCCGCCTTTGTGAAGCCAACTGTCTCCTGGAACATCTCGAAAGATTCCATCAGTCTAGACATTCTCAGCCGGACGACAGGTGCAGTGAAGCTGGAGAACATCCTTGCCCGCTGATATATAGTGTGGAAATGCAAGAAGCAGGTGCTTTGAGGGCATGGAAACCAGTTCTTGGAGCGGCGTTATTCACCAGCGCTTTGCTAACTCGCAATTTCGTCAACTAGGCCGACGCATTCTTCATTAACTGCGCTTTTGGAATCTGTTTTATGGGACCTCTGGAGGACGTACTGAACATGCTCTTTTGTTTGACTACGCTACATCCTCAATCCTCCGTCCTGATTCATGCTGCGGACTGACGATACTTAGCATGTATTGGAGCAGCTGCTCGTCATCAATAACTTTTGGATGCCGCACGCTGTAGTAGCGGACGTAGTTGAAAAGAGCCGTGAAGCTACCCGAGACGTTAGTATGACGATCTCAAGAATCAATCTCAGAACTGCACTCACCAGGAAACCACATTGACCAAGCGCAGGTAGAGTTTGAAAACGGGATAGTACAAGTACACTACTTTCCTCGCCACCATCTGATTTCGAGCTCGGAGGTGAAACTCTGCAAAGATGCCGACAATGACCATGTACATCAAGGTCACCCCAAACGTAAGACCAATCGTAAAGCCCGGATTGACTCCCAGGGCCACTGGAAAGATGAACGGGAAGCAGAATAGCAGCAAGGTTTCGTACATCTGTGATCGATGTCATATTTGGTTCTCGCGTGGAGACTAGGCTTCACCATACCTCGCCGAACATGCTGATTTTGGTGAAGAGCTCATAGTGCCGCAATCGCCAATCAAACAAAATGTACCAATTGTTGTAGAATATGCGAGTCATGAGGAAGAAGTTCCATCTCCACAGCCTCTGAGCTGTGACGGTTATCTCGCCATAGCCTGATCGTTCTGATTTCCCTCCCCGCAAAAGGTGGGCTGGGACTGCTGTCTTCACGAAAACTTGCGAGCAGAACTTGATACGACCTCCAAGCTTCTTGCACATGAGACCAAAGAACCAATCTTCCGAGATGCGGTACCCAGGATGTCGTTGAAAGCACAGCTCAAGAAAAGATCTTTCCCAAAGGCAGATCGCACCGTGTGGAAATGATGAGCTGCCCAGCTTTCCGAAGAAGCTTCGATTGAGCCCAGCGAGTTTGTATTCGAGATTCTGCGCCTGCTGGCAAAGATTACCTCGACCTCCGTCCGCATCAGTCGCTTCTAGTGTATAACCAATGCATTTTACTCTGGCATGGCCATGCATATCGCTCTGCTTTCCGGTTTGGATGCGCTCCGTGACCACGGGAAAGATATCCGGCAGAGCAACGTCGTCGTCTATTAGTAGACAGTACCGAAAGCGATGCGCCGCTGTTGTGCCCACATACTGCGCAGCGATCTTTGAGCCTATAGGGACCCAAATATGCCGGACACCCATCATTTTACAAATCTCACCTGTGTCGTCCAGAGGCTCATCGCTGTTTCCATTGGCAAGGACAAAGATGTTTTCGGAGGGAAAAGTTTTCAGTGCGCATTCAAGAGTTTGTTGGATGACATCCGCGGACCGGTGGCACGGAATGATGACTGCTGTGTCAAGAGCTTTCTTCCTGTTCGCCTGAAGCCATTCATCTGATATCGCCGGTGGCTTCTCGAATGCGATGGCGAGAGGAGCGATGGCATACAAAAAGGCGAGTCCAACAAAAATTACTACGCCGGCGTCGACATCCAGATGGTCTTTGTAAGCATACCTGCAAAGGTCAGCAACTCCATGTCGAGGTTACTAGTGCTTCGTCAACTGACCAGAAGTTGTAAACGGCCCCATGCCACAGCGGATATCCTATGAGGAAGAAATATATGGCGCATGCAAGCAAGAGGTATCCTGAAAGCTGTATAAACCTCGAAAGCCAAGACGGAGGAGTCCGCCACTTGTTCTTGCGACGTGCGCGCCTGATTTGATCCTCCAATTTGCTCTTTTCTGCAGAGACGTCGCCAAATACGTATCTGTCGTCCTCAAGAGGGTTCGTCGGTATGCGAGCCAGGGAAGGGCACTGGGGAAAATCCAGGTTGGAAATCGAGATGCTGTCTTCAAATTGCTGCAGTTCGCATTGCGATGCCGATTCGCGCGGCCCAGCCGTGGATGTGTTTGGCAATGGTGGTGTCTTATCTTTTGGGAAGCTCCTGTCAGCCAAGGGTAGGGTCGAGGACGATGAAAAGTGGGCAAGCTCAGGAAATCTGACTAGAGGTTCGCTCTCGGCCATCGCTGCTCATTGAGCTGAACACTGGCCGAGGGCAACGAGAGTACTTGCATGCTCCATGAACGCGGGCCAGACCAGCCACATCGATGCCATATCGTCGCCAACGAAGGGTCGCTAAGGCTCTCGTGCAGTAAATGGCCGCCATGTCCAGAAAGGGGATTTGCCTATGGGAAGCCGCTTTTCAGTAATAATAGAAGTAGGGTCTGACTGGAGACAGATTTGCACGAGAGGCCGTCCACAGCTGGCGATAGAGTCTTAGGGATAGCCGCCACGGATCACTATGCAGCCTTGTCTCGGCATCCTGTATGCACAAGAAACTCTGTACATTCCAAGCCTGGATCTCAACACACGGAGAGAAAGCAATTGAGCCTCAGTGCTTCAACCCGTTGATCGCCATCGGCTTGGTTTCAGCGTTTTAGCAACCAACCCTTCTCAGTCAGCCCCAAAGCACACCAAAACCTGATAGGCTGAGTCAGTTCGGGAAAGGCTGAACGCCCGGGCGCTTTCTAGCCGAGCGCGGCGCGGTCCGGACCAGGGCGCTATTCTAGAAGCTTGTTTCCACGCCCGCGCGCGAGAATGCACGTTCGTATTTGAGATTCACTGCATATGCAGGCTTTCTCACGACTGGACATGGTCCGGGCCGCCTGATTGATGACGTGCAGATTCTGCGATGACCAGTGCCTCGGCTATCTGGAAGCTCAAACGAGTACGCAGAGCCCTTAGTATCCCTTGGCAGACCGTAAGGCTATGGAATCGTCTGGCCTTGATACTTGTGGAGTGAGAGGGCGGTATGTTGAGCGCTTGGGTGACTTTGCATTAGGAGGCTTTGCGAAGCATGGCCTGACTGGCACGCGCCGCAACGTCAGACAACTTTCTGTCCCCAGGATCTATCAGTCACACGTCCACGTGGGAAGCCGTAACTCCCTCGCATGATTTGAGCGCTAGACTTTTCTATTATTATGGTTTCATGGAACGAATTACGGAGCTAACACGACGCAGTATCGACTTCGTCTCTGCGTAGACCTGGAACATCATGCACCCAGAAGAAGATATACGCGAGCCTCGGCGGATAGAGTCCTCACATGACATGGGTCATGAATGTAGACAGATTGGAGTCTTCGCTATGCAGCTCCCAGACGGGGGTGATTCGTTGCAATCGGCCTCTATATTATCTCCCCCTTTCAAAGACCATCGCCGCCGGAAGACTGTCCAGCCAGCCACAACAGACACAGCAGTAGCGGATACGCGAGCAGAGTGCCTTCTATCTTCTTTTGGAGCGCGTAATCCGCGACGGCTTCTAGATGCGGGCTGCACGGCGTACAACCGGAACGCATAGATTCTAGAATCTAGCGAGGTCTGTGCACTTCAGACTTGATTTCACACCGCGGCGATGATATAGATCATTATATAGCCTTTAACGGTAATCTACTCCGCCTGCCAGTCTGCTGTATTGATTTGTCCTCACTCAACACATATTCATTCAATCACCGTACTACGAGCTCGCCAGTAGCATGATACTCTCATCAGGTGGAGAACCCGTCGTCAAAATGAGTTCGACCAAGTTCGTCAGAATGCCGGATACGCCCCCCGACACACCCTCATGTCAGCCTTTCATCAGGAGCTCGTCTTGCGACTTCCTTGGCGATCTTGCTCTGTGCTCGCAATCCGACACAGCAAGCAGCCCTACTCCCTTAGTAGCCATCATTGGCACTGGCTATGTCGGTCTTCATCTCGTCGAAGCATTCTCTACGGCATACAACGTGATTGCCTTCGACGTCTCTGGGCGCCGATTG